CCAGGAGGCAAGAGGGACAACGGTATATCTGGTTCTCTGGTTCAGGTAGAAGAAATAACTCAAGTCTAAATGATTTGGACCATTTAATTAATAAGAAAGTAAGATCAGATCAGTTCAGACCAATCCTCCCCACATAGACACTATAGTGGCCTTTAAATATTGATCCTGTAATGATATAGATGGATGGATGCAACATTTGGACTAACTCAACAGCAGACATAAGGAGGAAACACTCAAGATTTCCAGTTAATTTTCCACAATTATGTTAACCTGGAAAATCATTTTAATTAAACCGTTTTTTCATTTTCAGCCATTTAGAAACAAAAGGCAGAAGATGCTAACCTGCATTTTATCCTTAATTTGAGTTGTTAAATGCGATAGTTTGCCAATGGAGTGAGTATTTTTACTTTTAAAATAAGATAATTAGATAAAATGCACTTGGTATAAGACAATGCAATTATGTTTTCTTATTTTAAGTGAAAATTGTCTTGCTCCATTGGCAAAATGTATCTTTTATCTCCTCAATCCAAGAACAAATGCATTTATTTTAAGAAAAAAATTACTTATCTGGATTTAGCACCATTCAGACTGTGAAGCAAGGGGGTGGCAGCATTATGCTGTGGAGCTGTTTTTCATTCCTTTTCCACAAAAATAAATGGCATCATGAGGGAAGAACATTTGGTGTTAACGCTGAAGCAGGAAATCTACTCTTCAGCCAGAAAGCTCAGGTTTCCGTACTGACAGTGACCTCAATCATAGAACCACATCAGTTAGAAGTTAGGAGAAACAGATGCAGTGAGCTGGAGCTGCCAACACAAAGCTCTGATCTCAGTTTCAGAGTAATTTGGGGGTGAGGCTGTTGGGGTACATATGAAGAGGTGGCCTATAAACCTGACCCGGTTTACAGCAGACTATGAGGAGACGCTTTGAGAAAGAAACACCGAAACATGGCAGCCACAAACCCTTTAAAAGGAAACTAGAAGTTGGACGTTCCTAAATCTGGAGAAACTCTCTCATTCTTTACGGTTAAGCCTCATTTTTACCAGTAGAAATCTGTGTTTAACTCTAAGCTCTGCATCTGTGGCTTGGCTTATTTTCACTTAACCTCAAGAAACTCTATTAATTCAGATCAGAGACTATTGTGCTGCTTTGTGTCATTTTGTCTGAGTGCTTTTAAGGATCTAGACATAAAAAACAAACTACTTGGTGAAAGAAGCGTTTTCGCTGTGGCTGCTTTCAAATAATGTGACGATCTGCCCTTACATGCCGGACACGCCTCTTCTCTTTCTGATTTTAAGAGGATTTTTAAAAACATCCTGTCTAAAGGTTTAACTCTTTTTCTTAACTTGTTTAATTTTATTTTCTTGCATTTGGACAGAGCTTTGTGGACCTTGGTTCATTATAAAGTGCTGAGTAAACAAAGTTGGTATGTTATGGTTGAAAAGCGCGAGTTGGTGACATCTCAGCAGGGCAGCGGCACAGAGGACAGAAACAGAGCCGGGTGGACATCAGGACAAAGACCGACTGTTAGGAGGAGAAAAATAAAAACAGAGGGCCCCTTAGACCAGTCATAAAACAAGGAAGGAAGGCAGTTATAGGTCAAGCAACCATTAGAGTCAAAATACCTCAAACACAGAAACAGAGTAGTTTTAATGAACAAATATTTTAAAACAGATCTCTGCCTGGGAAAGATGTCAAATTAGCAGCTAGCTCTGAGGTATGGATGATAATGGAAATCCATCCATTTTCCATCACACTTATCCCTGCTGGGGTGGCGAGGGGTGCTGGTGTCTATCTCCAGCTGTCTACGGGCGAGAGGCGGGGTCCACCCTGGACAAGGTCACCAAATAACCATTCACACACACTCACACCTAAGGAGAATTTAGAGAAGCCAATTAACCAAACAATCATGTTTTTGGACTGTGGGAGGAAGCCGGAGAACCTGGAGAGAACCCACACATGCTCAGGGAGAACATGCTAACTCCATGCAGAAAGATCCTGGGCTGGGAATTGAACCCAGAACCTTCTTGTAATATATATATATATATATATATATATATATATATATATATATATATATATATATATATATATATATATATATATATATATATATATATATATATGTATCTATGCATATGTAAAATCCAAATAAAGTGAAAATCCAACTAAATTGATAAATCCAAGTAAAGTAAATATAATTGTTAACTAGGCTTATTAACTTTTTAACTTTACCTTTTAGCTTTTTAATGAACTTTTTACATTTTTTTCTTGTTAACTGTTTTTTTTTTCATACTTAATTCACAGTAGGTAATATATACCCTATAAAGGGTTGAACTTCAACCTAATAAATAAATATCATAATTCATAACTTTTTCTCTCTGGATTAGCTTCAAAAAATCTTTTTAATCCACAAGTTATACTAACGTAAATTTCCAATATATTGCACCTATTTACTGAAGTTCTCCCTTCATTTCATAAAAGGTTTATTAGTGTGACAAAGAAAACAATTTTGCAGAGCCAGAGTCAAAACTGAGAAAATGTGCTTTAAAAATGTTATAATTGATCAAACTATACATCAAAATTGTTAAATGTTTCTGATTATTAAACTAATATTTGAAAGTAGTTAATTAAAAAAAAAAAAAAAACACCAAAAAAAATGTATGCTTACAGTTTTCTTAAAAGTGAAGTCTAATCAGCAAGGAATAATCAATGGATCATCTATACCTAAAACTTTGCACGCAAAGCATTCTGGGATATATCTGCCTCTTCTGAGGCCTTTCTTTTCTTCTCATACACTTCTTGGACACTTTTTCTTCTTACGGCCATTTTTAAAGAACCGCGGTGAGAAAGGTGAGCTTCAATGACCGTCTGAAACCGTAGCTCACCACAGATATACGCCTGAAAGAGCGCAGAAAAAGATCGCTAACGGGACGAGCACGTAGGACGGCCTTACGTAAACACATCACCACAATGATCGACGGTTAGGAGGACCACTAATTTCGGTAAAAGATTGTCTTCTACACCTTTAATGAAATGTTTTTCACCATGGTGAAGCACGCTGATGGCAGCATGATGCAGAGGGGATGACTGCTCTCAGCAGGAACAGGTTGCTAGCTAGAATGAATGAGAAGATGAAGCCTAACTTAAATAAAAGAATGACCCTAATATGGAGGCAGGTAATAGACTGGGAGTCGGATCCTAAATAAAGAATCCTTGCTGGACCTCTCACTCAGCTTTGTGAAGAAATGAATGCAAATAACTGCAGTGATGGATCGGCAAATTAAAGCAAGTCTCCTTCTGTGCAAATTTATTCTCAAAGATCTCAGGAGCGCGGCGAGATCCACTGCCTGGAAGGACGCGAATCAATCCCCTTAAATAAATATGACTTTACATCAATACAGAGCAGAGTTAGTACAGAGCTGGAAAGAGAGGGAGGATAACCGGATCACAACTCATGTCGGCAAATTTGCGTACAGATTATTCTATGTAAATGTAACTTTGTGGCCGTGTCGTCGGTGCCGGACTGAGTGATTAACGCCCACATTTATTATGGAACACCTCCCATTAACCCAGTAATAACACGCCGAGTGACACCGTGTTTTAACTTCTAATCCTCGGCTCACCAGCACAAGCTTTTGCTGCTTTAATTATCTTTAATACCTGAGCAGAGTTTGTTAGAATCATCACATCTGTCAGCGCTTCCCTTCAAAGCAGCAGTAAGGGATGTTTTTTGCGGCCGTCATGGCGGCCCGTTTGCTGCGGCGCTGAATTGGGGCCCACGTGGGAAAAGCCGTCAGAGCGCCCTGACATCTCTCTGCAACTCATTTCTCAATCCTTGTGATGTTGTGACTGAAGCCCTCTGCAGACGCGGCTCCATCCAGATTCCCGTTGACATACGTTTAACATGAAAAGATAAAACTCGGATCCAAAGAGAGAGAGAGAACATAGCTGACAGGTGTTCTGTTGCCGAGTTTAACGGATCAAAGGATGTCGGAGTTGATTTGAGCTGAAAGTGAATGAACCCCCCCCCCCCTCCTCGTTTCATCGTGCTGGATAAAATCCTTCAGAGAGACCTAAACACTGTGCTCCAGGTGGAGGCTTTCATTTCTTTACTAATGCACGTATTAGTGCCCTTATGATGCGAATTTAATAAAGATTATTCATGTGTGAGGATAACAACTGTTACAACTCTTTTAAAAGGAGTTTTTAGTAAAAATTTCTCAAGTTTAAGCTTTAGATTATAAATATTCTCCATAATCCATTTTGTACGGATCTATAGAGCTGCCATCTTTATTTCATTTGGAAAAACTGATGCTGTGACGTCTACCAATACGTCACTTACCTTATTGAATCAGAATAAAGAAATGTTTAATTGAATAATTCGAAATAAGACCAATGTTAGAGATATTTTATTTATACTCTTTCATGGGTGGTGTTCTAATGAACTATTATGATGTATAATGTGTGATTCATCGTTTATTAACTCTTGCTAAAGATCGTTCCAGATAAAGGTCATGCAACGGACGGGTTGTGAAGGAGGCCTGAACATCCTCTATCACATGTTTCTCCTAAACATGTGTTCTTGGAACAATTCAACTGTAAAACACCAAATTGTTTTAATGTATGTGCTGAGGTTTAAAGTAAGATCCTTTTGAGGAGAAAGCTGAAGCTGAAAGCTGAAGACTGCAGAGTGGGGTGGAGATTGAAAACTCTGCAGTCTCTTCCTACTCTCCTCGCGAGTAAAACTAAATAATTGTCTCTGTGCCTTCTTTCTTTACCTGTATGTATGTATGATGTTTTAGGTGCTTAGACCTGTCAACAAATTACTTAAAGGGACAGAAAACCTCCACAAACCTGAACATCAGGGATCATAATTATCCGGGGACACGTTCAATCTAGATAACGGATCATTACTAACAGCAGCTCAGAATGGAAATTCAAACTACTTCATATAATCTGAAGGAATAAAAGCATTAAACAGTTGGATTAATAATCACCTGGTAATTCGGGCTAATCACAGCTTTGGTCTGAAGGGCGGCTTAGTGGAGGAGCAGAGCCTGGGAAAACACAAAACAGGAAAACTTTAGTCAAACAAACAGATGTTCTGGATCAAAAATTAGAGCAAAATACATTAAAACAGAGGAATCAGTGATTTCTGCCAATCCTGCACATTTTCAGCTTCTCGCTGAAGAGTAAAAACATTTTCTGAATGTGGGAGAAGAAAGGAGCTGAAATAAAAGCCGGAGTTTTGTATGGTTGAAATATTTGAACATTTCTTTTTCTTTTTAATCCAATGCAGAATTGAAACGATTTGGAGATTTTCTTAACTTTGCGTTCTGCTGTCCCTGCTGACCTTTATTCACACAAATATACACTGATAGACAGAAAGAGCTCCCATTAACAAGGCAGGCTCTGTTTCAGAGGCTGTTTGAAAAGAGCTGGAGTAAAGATGGGTGTGTGTGAGAGAGAGGATTGTTCTCTGGAGCCAGAAGACAGAGATATGGCCTTCATTCCTGCTCAGATTAAAGGATTTAGAGCAAGAAGGCTTATTACAGATCCGAAGAAAGAGAAAGAGGCAGAGCCTGCCCTCCTTTTCCCTCTGTTCAAGGCTGATTAAAACAAAGATAAGTCTCCCTCCCAGGCTGAGAGCTGCTGGAAGCCCCCCCCCCACACACACTCTGACTCATTAAAATCCAGCTGTAACAGTGATTCCTCTGAGCTGTGGAGGATTTCAACCTGTCGGACATCCAGCACGTTCCCATCCTCTCACCATGTCAGAGGCTTTTTCTGAAAAACCTCCTCGCCATTAGCGGAGCGTGCCTCTAAAAAAGCCCCCGACCAACATCTGAAACATGGAAGAACAGCTTTAAGAAGCATCGATACTCTTAGATCAGGGTTTAAGGCCGGGGGTTTGGAAAGACCGCCCAGATTTTAATGTCTGTTTGACCCGTCGGGTCTGGATGTGAGTTGGAGATCATTGTTCTGATCCAGACTAAATTAGCCAAGTCTTTCATTAAAAAAATGATTTTTTTCTGGATTTTTGGGCTCTAAGCTTCTGCTTAAAGACAAAATCATGAACTAATTGCAGCTTTTTAAAACCTGATTGATTAAAAACATAAAAACAAATGTTTGACTCTGTTGTTCCTTCCCACTGTCACCGCAGGAGGCTTTAAATCTGACTGGATCTATTTATCCGACAGTGCTGGAAATGAACTAGAGCTCAAAAAGCAAACATTAAAGCTTTCAAAGCTCCTTTACTAACTACTGATCAGGTTTGCTTTTATCCATCACCAGCAGCCAACATTGAACTGGTTCCTCTGGAGCTTCCCTCTCCTTCCTGCATGTCCTGCAGGAGGAGAGCGGCTCTTCTTCGCTCTTTAAAACATTTCCTCCCATAATCTTCCTTCTGCATCGCCTCCGCTTGAAATTAATTCAAGCATCTATTAAATCAAGCCGGATACAAACACGTAATCTGTTTTCCAGGCATCACTTCTCCCACTTAAGGTGGCTTTTAATTATGAAGTGAAAACAAGGAGGAAGTGGCGTAGACACCACCAACAAAGTGTTGAATTATAGAGCAGGAAATGTAGCTCCGCATGAAGCAGATGCTGCTGATGTTCAGTCTGGAAGGATAAACCAAACGACTGGAGGTCCTTCACTTATATTCAGCTCAAAGTAAACCAGAACAGAACCGGTTCGCTTTAAGTACTTCCTTAAATTAAAGTGCTCTATGTCGCTCAGTTCTAGTTGTGTTTCGGATTGAATCTGACTCTAGTTTTTTAGTTCCTGCCTCTTAGGAATTATAACTCTAAGTAAAACGGGAAGAAGACCTGAAAAACTAAGGTTCTTACAGAGACTTATCTGATTAGTTTCTTCTTATTCACATTTATGCACTTATCAGACTCCCTTCTCCTCCTTAAACACTTAACCTGGATTTAAAGGGACAGGCAATTTCCAGAAACTTCATTCCTGTTTCTTCAGTTCATCCAATAAAAAAGCGTAACGAATCCTCTGGTGTCAGGCTATCACGCTATCAATGACGCTAAACTAACAACACGTCGCATGTTTCACCTCCTAAACCTTCTGCCAACACTGGCAGCATGTGTGATTGCGTCATTCTAAGAAAGTAGAGGAGTGCTGCGTGAATATCAATGCGTATTTATGAGCTGGAGAGAGATACAAGGGAAAGAAATGAGGTGTCGGTGAAAGAGGGAGATCTTTCCGTCTGCGTCGGTGCATTAAAGTGCTGAGCGGTTCAATCTGGGACACGATGAGAAGTAATCCCCAATGACAGCGGGCCTGGAAACATACCCTGTATACCTTCAGACCTCCGAGATAAACAGACTTTTATTTTACTTTTAACACTTTCTTAACACAATTCAAACATATAAACAATTATTGACGTAAAACAAGTGTCAACTAAAAATCATGAAGTGAGGATCTTGTTAAATTGTAGTTGTCCTTCATCTGACACAGTACATAAAATGTTGTTAAAACCCCACAGCTGAATAAAATCCTCCATGTTCTGTGTGGCGCTGACACTGCATGAAAAGTGGGATTTTCGTCAATATACGGCACTGTAGATTGTCGTGGAACTTCAGGTTAGCGGCAGTTTACGACAATTTGCAGGCTTCGCCGAAAACTCCCGTAAATTGTCAGAAATTGACGTGGAATTTCTTAGGCAGTGTTCCCCCCATGCCTCCCCCCCATGGAATTCTAGGGGAGGCTTTAACATGTAAATGAACATGCTGTGAGCTATACAAATGCAAACCAGGGTTGCAGGGGGGGTTTTACCCCCCCTGCAACCCTGGGTAAGAAAATCTCTGATACAAAGAGATCAGGTATAGCCTCTTACATTTTAGCTTGAATTGATTTATTTAATTAAAGTATAGAGACCAAAACAGATCTTTAGCTGACAAAGCAATACATTTAGAGCAGTAATTTTTTTTTTTTTAATTTGCATTTAAGATAAAAAATAAAATGTTGTCTGTCAATATGCTCAATTCACAATTACTTAAGTGGAACATAAGGATTAAGGACATAGGTCAGCATGCTAAATTGGTATTAAGTGGCCCAAAGTGTGGCAATAAATATCCCCCAAATAGATGGTAGAAATAGATCAGGCTCAGTATAGCCTAATTATAGACTCTTACATTTTAGCTTGAATTGATTTATTTAATTAAAGTACGCTAGATTACTGTGTATGCAAATGTTATGTAAAAAAAATACACAAAATAATTTACTTCAAAAATTAGTTTTAATCAGAATCAGTTGGCTGTAATGGTTAATTTTTTTTTTTAGATTTCCCCTTTTTTTTTTTTGTTATTGAATATATAAGAAAACAATAATCTCAAATAACAAGTCAATAACAAATATTTCAATACAAGAAGAAATATCACAACTCCTGCTTTTGAAAAATAAAATTAAATGCACAGGCTGGAACAAAGTATAAAATAAAATGAAATAAATAAAAATAAATAAAATAATAATAGTAGTTAAAGTAAATTAATCAGTGGGGACTACCAACTGAAATTCTTCAATTAACTCAAACAATTTAATTGCATTTAAATTCTGCATCTTTCTCAGACATCTTTTGAAAAGGGAAAGTTCATTTTTGAGAGCAGAGATTGAGAGGGAGCATTTTGCATAGCGACATTTATGGATATAATACTTTGTTACAATTATTAGAATATTGATTAAAAATTCCAAATTTTTTTTCTTTAATGGATAAACCGAATTGAATGTTTTGCCAGGAAATAAAATCTAAATTTATTGTTTTAGAAGACAGAAAGGTTCGAAGTTGATCCCATAAGTTTAATACTTCTTTACATTCATAAAAAAGATGTTTAGTTGTTTCCAATTGAGTTGTACAAAAGCCACAATTCTCAACATTAAACTTAAATCTCTCTCTTAAAAACTCATTTGAAGGATATATGTTATTTATTATTTTAAATTGTAATTCTTTATATTTACGAGGAATTGGGAATTTCAAATAATTTGTCCTAATTTTGACTATCATAGATTTCTTAAAAGTTTGTAAGAGAGCTGTGCTTTTTGTTCTTCCTGGGTACATATTATTTATAGAATATTGATTCAAAAACTTGTTGTTGCATTTATTATCTCTAATGTCCACCTGCTCAAATTCAATCTTATGGAGACAAACAATTGCAATTGCAAACAATTTATAGGTGCATTACCGCCACCTTCCAGAATGGAGCGACGCGAGCTCTTCTCGCGAGTCCTTCCGTATAACAATGACGTCGTATGTGATTGGAGGAGCCTGATGAGCCTTCGGCCCCATCGTCCAATCACGTGTGAGCTTTTGTGCACTACGACTTCTCGCGAGACCAGCATATTAGCAGACATGTTTGTGTTGTGAACTTCATCTCCATTTACCGTGTTTGTATTTTGTTGTTACGTGAACAATGGCTGCACGACGTCTCGCGTTCAACTCGCCTCCAACTGCTCTTAGTCCACAACTTTCGGCCAGCCCGCAGACTGACGAGAAGAAACTGCTGATTGCTATCAGCGGACTGTCTCGTCAGCTTGCCCGACATACTGCCGACATGAATGAGCGCCTCACTCAGCTGGAGAATTCGATGCTACGAACTCGAGGAAGAGAAGACGGGTGCACAACGCCACGCTAGCGGTAAATATATGTTCGATTACTGGTAGCTATGCTAAAAGCAGCCTAGCTTAGCTAGGCAAGCTAAAGACAACCTAGCCTAGCTAGGTAAGCTAAAAGCAGCCTAGCCTAAAGCTTTATTAAAGTGTATTTTTTGTGATTCACAGGAAGCAATATGCCGTCTTAACAACTCGGAGACTAATTGCAGGCGCTATGAACCGGAGCAGGGGTAAGGTTTAAAGAATATGCTTTCATTCAGCGGTAAAAGGACATGGATACGGATGGATACCGACCATAGCTGTACTTTTTTTTTTTTTTTCACAGACTACAGTCGCCTCACAATGAGGCGGTGACCTCCTATTTGCTCGGATTTGCACGATGTTGATAAAGACGACATTGTGTGGAAGTGACTCGTTTTAATGTTTTCTCCTT